GGAGAAGTGTGTGACGTTGCAGGTCATTCCCTTCCAACTGGATTCGTGAGGACCCCAGGACGATATCAGCCGGAAGTAAAAACCGAGTGGTTTCTCAACCGACAAAACTCTTCCGATGGGCCCACTGCGAGAAGTGGTCCCTGGTTGTCTGAACTTATTTTGGGATGTCGTGACGACTGAAAAATAAAATACCTGGAATTGTACGTCAATCGCAGTCCTCAGTGTCCTCTGACGTTCCGTTCAGTGCTCGTTGCACCTGGAATACAAATAAAAGTCTTTAACACCACGAAAAAGTTATGTAAAAATGGAAAACACTTATAAATTGACATTTCAAAAGTAGATTTTTTGGAGAAGTTTCATTACATGGTGGTAAAAATTGATATAAAAGGGTGAAATGTAGGAGGATTTTCGCATTCCCAGTAAATAAAAAATGGTGCCTCGAAAAAATAGTCGGCACACTTGATTTCACACCACTTAGTTTAATATGTCTTTAAATAGTCCGGGAACCTGACGGTTCGACTTGAACTTGTATTTTTTGCGCCGGTGATTGTTGTATCTGTGCATTTCCAGGCACATCGCCAAGAATTTCGAAAATTGGGCCATCCGCCGGTCGGCTATACTGAGCTGAAACGTCGCTTATGATGGGGTTACCTTCAGAATAAGCTGGTTTCCAACGGTCGACACTAACAGCATTTTCACGTCCGTTTCGCTTTATGGTACAGAATTTCTCATGCCGCTTGATCACTTTAAATGTTCCGTCGTAAGGTGGTTTGAGTGTTCGACGAACGGCATCGTGGCGGAAGAACACATGTGACGTCTTCTGTAAAATGGGGTGAATGAAGACACCAGTCGTCTGAGGTCTAACAGAAGTAGGCCTAACTGAATGCATCGCGTTTGTAAGCCTAGTGCTTGAAGTTAAGGGGGAAACAAACTCACCAGGTAGGCGGAGAGTGGCCCACAGACGAGATCTGCAGAGATGCATCCGGCGTCAGCTTTCGACGCGTCAAAAATACTTAGTAGGACAAGAGGCAAGGCCTCGGTCCACTGAGGTGTGTTTGCAGCTGAAAGGGAAGCCTCCGGTAATCGTTGGAAAAGTTCAACCACGCTATTTGCTTGTCGGTGATAGGCTGTTATTCCGAACCGAGTGCAACCTAAAAGTGCGGTTAAAGCGTGAAACAATCCACACTCGAGATGGCGCCCGTGGCCGGTTGCTATGTAACATGGACATCCAAAGTTCACGATCTATCTCTCTACGAAACACGAGCGAAAGTTTTGGCAGTAATATCCTTAATAGGTACTGTTTTTGGTCGTCAGGTAAAACGATCCACGCAAGTGCAAAGGTAAGCACATCCATTAGGTCCTGGTAGAGGTCCTACGGCATCTACATGGACGCGGTCGAAACGCATGTCTGGGGCTAGAAAAGAACCAAGAGGGCTTTTCGTGTGTCGTATAACTTTGCACTTCTGGCAGGCCAAGCAAGACTGAGCCCACTCCTTACAGTCTTTGTTCATTCCCGGCCAGCAGAAACGTTGTGTGATAAGCCTGATGGTGACTCGTACACTTGGATGGGATAGTTTGTGCAGCGTATTGGAGATGTTGCGTTGACATCTGTTCGGAAATATGGGGCGCGGTTGACCAGCAGAGACATCGCATAAAACTGTATCCGAGCCTGATTCTGTCTGACACAGTTGTAGCTTGAGAGTTGTGGACGACAACTCATGGTGCAGCTCAAGGCCTTGTTTTTGGCACCTAGCTAGCTTACGATATCAACGCCTTCGATACGGTTTATCGAAGTTATTCGAGATAGTGAGTCAGCCACGGAGTTATCGGCTCCGGACATGTGGTGGATATGTGGCGTGAACTGGGAAATGTAATCCCGTTGTCGTGACTCACACGGGGATATTTTTCTGGTGCCGAGCCAGGAGGGAAGGTCAGCGGTTTGTAGTCTGTGAAAATAATGAAGTTATGACCTTCCCAGGAATGTCGAAAATGGCGCACCGAACAGTACATAGCTAAGAGTTCCCTACCAAATGTACTGTATCTTGCTTCCGCCTCTTGCAGTTGTCCCGAGGAAAAGGCTAAGGGTTGCAACCGATTGGCAGTCAGCTGATGCAAAACTGCTCTAATTACTGAGTCAGATGCACCAAAGGGGATTCTCGAAGGAGCATTGGGGTCGTGATGTATAATCACGGTTGCATTTGAAATGGCTTCCTTGACTTTAGAGAAAGCAAGTATGGTGACGTTGTCCAAGGTCACGCACTTCATAGTCCCTCGAAGTAGATCTGTGAGCAGTCTCATGACAGAGGCACAGGTGGGAATGAACCTTCGGTAATAACTTGCCAGGCGAGTGGAAGTGCGGAGATGTTTCACAACGGTCGGCTCTGGATGGCTCAAGATAGCCGCCACCTTATGTCTCAATGAGCGTGTAGCTTTGTTGTCAATGGTATGCCCAAGGAAGCTGAGTGGTTCAACTCCTATTTTACATTTGTGCACGTCAGCTGTGATGCCATGTTCTTTCAGCCTACTGAATACGAGGTCCAAATATGTAAAGTGAGTTTCCTTATCTGGAATAGCAGTGAGATAGTCATCGATGTAGACGTGGACAGAATCTAAACCACGGGAGACGTCATCCTTCAAGCGTTGGAACGTCTGTGCTGCATTCCGAAGACCAAGTGGCGTGCGCAGGAATTCAAACAGGCCAAAAGGAATTATAATGGCTGTTTTCGTGATGTTTGCTGCCATAGGTATCTGATTATCCGATTTGACCAGACCGATTTCGGAGAATACGTTCGTTCCGCATAAAGTCGTAAATGTGAGGTACTATGTAGCAGTCCAGTATTGTTTTGGCGTTAAGCCCTCGGTAATCACCGGTTGGACTCCAGTCGTTACCATCCTTTTTGTAACCCACAACCGCCGGTGATGCCCAAGGACTGCTTGAAGGTTTGATAATGCCCGGTTTCAGCACGTGGTCAAACTTCGTTTTCGGCGTTTAGAGCTTATCAGGGGCTAGACGGCGTGCTTTGGATGCCACGGGCGGGCCTGTGGTCGTGACGTGGTGCACAACGTTGCGGGTTATGCACAGAAGAGTATGATTCAGTTATTGTAACTGGATATTTCCCTAGCGCTGCCTGGAAGGGGACGTCGCCTGAGGATGGCTAAACTAGGACCTATGCAGATGGTGCCCTCAGTAGATAGATAACTTTGTATTGTTATCTATCAGTCGTCGACAAAGAGCATCTACGAGTAGATAGTAATGACTTAGCGAATCTGCGCGAATGATAGACATAGAAACGTCAGCCAGGAGAAAAAATCCAGTGAATGGGTCTATACAAACCCAAGTGGAGGTAGGCACACCGCCTTCCAAATGTTGTTGCCGCCTTGCCGTTAGCTGCTTGAAGATTGAAGGATGAGCCATGAGAACGCTCCTTTATTGGTGCGAAAAGAACACTGGCTTCTGCGCCGTTGTCAATGAGGTAGCGGACTTTCGTTTTTATGTCCGCGACATAAAGCAAGCAGCTGTTTACACCGGCTTTGGTTACCGTGAACGCGTGCCGGCGTGACAGTTTCCCGAGTTTTTGCCCGTGTTGAACTTGCATGGGCTTCCGGCATCTTCTAGCTTCGTCTCCGTAGGTATTGTGAAACCAGCACCAATAATGGTCTTCCATCCCGTTGGGTTTAGTTTTTGTATAACCACGAGAGTTGCTGCGATGGGTGAGATGTGTTTCTGTGGCGTGCTACGTAACCTAAGACTTCGAGTTCGTGGCAGCTGTTTAACCGAGTTGCACAGCTTGGTTACTTCCGAATCCCGGCCCTCGGGTTTAAAGCAGACAGGACATATGTTGGAGACGGGCCCGCTTGAGATCACCAGTATTTTATCTACTGAGGCTGCCAGGTCATCGAGTGGAACTGACTGGAGTGGCACAAACACGGTTTGCACCGGTTGTGGTACCTTCGAGAGAAGCAGCTTTCGGAAAAGGCCATTATCGAACGTTCGTGCGCCCATAACTTCTCGCATGCGTGTGAGGATTTCAGTGGCTGAGTTGCTGCCTATCCCGAGGCAATTCGTCTGGGCGCTGGCGATCTGTGAGATCACTTTTCCTCAGTAGCGCAGCTTTGAGAAGTGCATAGGGATCATTTCTCCAGGACTAAACATATGTTCCGTAACGTGCCTGTTTAATTCTGGTGGCAGTGCACGTATGGTAGCAAAAAATCGAGAATGAGGATTTGCTGTCCCTTGTTCTCGGCACACAGAAACCATGTTTCTGCATTATCTGGTCAGTATGACACCAGCTGGATAGTGTTCGTCGTCGGCTTAATAGGGATAAGCTTCGGAGTATGGTCGGAAATAGAAAGCAGTCGTTTGTGGATATATAGAGGTTATCAAAATGAAAACAATTTACAAGTTTAAAAATGAGACGGGCTCGCCAAGTTAAGATTTACCCTCGTCGGGATTCGTTGTCATTTCAGGCTCACCAGTTTAGGAATTGTCCTGGTGCGAACTTGATAGATACAGAGCCCAATCACTAATTATTCGAATCTGCTACACACTCACAAATACGAGATCGAGAAAGAACACAATAGCGTAGTCGGATGGAATAGTATATTCACGAAGTCGTGCCGAGATACCAATGAGTTCCAACTAACTGGCTGGAGGGTCGATTGCGAGCAGTGCGACGTAACATGACAGCGTGCCAAAACGGTGAGGATGCTTGACCGAGTGCCTTCAGCTTAGCAAGTCCAGTCAAACTATGAAGGTCAGCATCAATGCTGAATCATGTCGAACCCTAGGCTATTGATTTTGGAGAAGTGAGTGACGCTACATTACTATTATATCTATAATTAAGAGATTTTCTGACGATGTTGCCGAGGTGTCTTCGAATGCAGCGCAACCCTGGGTGGCTTCCTATTAGGCTTAAGTATACGGGTATCTCACCTCGCCTAATGTTTCTTTTCACGATCTGTAAGATGCAATATGTATAGGCCCAATTCACTTCCCGATTATGCAGAAATCTCTGGTAAACAAATATGAAGTTGTGAACTCTGAATTCCCAAGCATTTTTGATATAAATGATCAAGTATGTTGAAAGATATTTCTTCTAGGTTCCGTACAATTTTTTTAGGCAAAGAAATATTTTAGCATTTTATGAATATTGGTTATTGTATATTTTTGACTGTGTTCTGAGGATAGTGATGAATCGTCGGCGATCTTCTCCAAAACCACCGTAACTGCATATGAATTCAAGTGTGGCGGTTTGAAAGGTGTGAGTAAAAATTTGTCGTGGTGTTTTCTTTTTCTAGGCTGCTCTGTACTTTCAAGGTTGTGCAGCGAATTTAGACTGGTGTGCCGGACTTGGCAGTTTCTTGTTAGCGGGACATATAAAAAAGGGAATGAGACGTAGACGACGTTCTGATTCTGAAGATGAAGATGGTATTTCGACTTTTTTTGCTTGTAGTCTTGTTATTTTAGACCTCAGGGCAAAAAGAGACAAAACGGAGCAGGATACTATCGAATCTCTCATTTATCGAATTGGATTTAAGGTAGAATTTCCTTCGTAATGCGAATTCTTTAGGACCTTTCCAACATTGAGAGAGATATTGGTGAACTCGCGACAGTCATTTTGACTGATGTTCCTAAAAATGGAGAAAAACTCTTAAAGTCTTGTGCAATTGGTAATTCTATAAATATGAAATAACTGTTTGCGAAGCGTGAAAAATATTCCAGAGCGCATATTAATCTACGCAACATTGGTTGGGTTATTAAATCTGAAGAATCGGTCTTTTGTTGGCCAGGTATGTGTTTGTTGCATCATGAATATTTCCCCGTCAGCTCATAGAACTTCTTCAAAGGGATCTCAGGGACGCCATTCGGTCAGCTAGTTTCGAGGACGCTAAATACATCGTATGTTTTGGATTTTTTTTATATTTCCCCTAGGTGCTGTTCTTATCAGTGTCTGTTAACTGCTTTTCAGTCCAGAAGGCTTCTGTTCTTAGCTTGTATGAGAATTTCGCTGAGGTCACTCTTGATGCGGGACGAAGTTCGCAGGGCCGGACTGACTGGTATACATACATGATCTTATACGGTCTACCATACGTAAGTGATGTATTTAAATAATTAGTATTGACTTGTGGCACAAAATGTAATCGTGTCCCCGTGTCATACGTTTGTTTCTTTTTAACATCACCTAACCATTACCATACAAAATAACAAGTGAAAAGCTTTTGGCTGCTATATTGATCTAGTACTCTTCTTCCATCACAAAGTACCATAAAGTTCAAAAGCCTATACTTTTGTCCATTGAAAGACTACGGTAAGCTGGAAGTTTGAATATAGTCTAGTGCGTGTGGATACATTTAGTAGCTATGCATACTGATGTACTGATTTACGTTGAATTTTAGTAATGGAATAGGATTGGTCATCGAGTGCCCTCGTTAAGATACTGTGCAATGATACTCTTCGCAAATAGATGGACTCGATTTATTTGTATTTCGTCTTAATACACTTCTGATCTCACTGCACCAACATCGTCATGTGCGTTAACTTTCATCCTTACTACTGGTCGTCTGTCGAGTACTTATTTAGGCATCAAAGAGATTGAACTGTATTTCATTCTTGGTTTCTCCCTAAAACTATCATAAGCATCTAAAACCATAGAATAGGCTGAAGTTATTTAATCCACTCGTTACCCTTGTGAGTGGCTTAGCTTGTTAAGATTCTTTTGTCACCCTTAGTGTTTACCGAGTGCTTCTTGTAAAAAACTACGCAAACAATCTGACAACTTCACCATGTCTAATTTCCAGATTTTAATACAACTAGGTGTTCACATACGAGTTTATTCTCTGTGTTGTGATTTGCTTTGCGTCATGAGCTGATGATTTACTCTTGCTGCTGAGGGTGAAGTAGGCCAGGTTTATTTCAAAATTAATGTTTTGAGTCTGCGTTATTTAATTTTCGTTTGTAACTGACTAAATCTAGAGTTTAAGAGCCTCTTCTTAGTTGCCACTACACAAAATGTTTTTAATTTGAGATCAGAAGCTGCACCTTCTGGAGATCTACTGCCGTTTTCTGCTATGATCAAGATTTAGTTTCCAAACTGTGCACAATAAATTTGGAGAATTCCAGTCTTAGCTAAAATGTGAAGTCGAGGGCTTCGTTTTAAAGATAGCCCGCTTTTCCCTCTTAAGATGTGTTGTTACTTGTCAAATTACAGTATATACACACCCCTCTTTTGTGGCATGATTGACAGATGTCGTCTTCAGGCAATGTTCGCAGTTGTCTAGTTCAATAAACCACTTAAGACGGACAATATTTCCTTTAGATTTTTTTGTGCTTGGGATCGTGGTAGAATGGTAGTAAGGTTAAAAGCAACTGTGTGCTCAAAAGTACGGTCAAACTAATGACTGCACAGAAATGTGGTGATAGTCGAATGTTTTTACTCAACGATTAGCATTTTAACCACGTTACTTTTCCATCCGAAACACCACCTAGGATAACCTTACAACCTACAAATGATGCAGCTTTCCGTTATTGCTGTCAGTTTGAGAAAGGAAAACACTTGATAGCTTCTGACACTACAGAAGTTGGCTTTTGACCAGCCTTCACCAATTGTTCTTTCGGTTCTGTTATCTTAAAGCATCCACTTATTATGTCAAGTATCTCAAGAAGATATCACTTTACGTGAAGTGGGCAGTAGAGACGGCTATCATCCACACGCTCCCAACGACTCTAAGCCCATCTAACCATCACCAGCTCTTCACTGTTTCATTCATCATTCCGTTATGAACGTCTTACCACATGGTTTTCTGAGCTTCCTACCTTGCAAAGTCAGTAAAACATTTATTAGTCTTCTGAACTCTCTTTCAACTTCAGACTGGAGTTTTTAACACCCGAGTCCATTCTCAAATTGGATTACAGGCTCCGCTAGTCAAAATCCATTTTAAAAACATCGAAATGTTCGGTCATTCGGGTTATTTATGCGCTGTGCAGTAATGAATTTATAAGAAATAAGAATTGTATCACGTATATGTAGTTGTGTTATACAGCTGTCCACCCGCTGAGTGAACTTCGGACTATGTAAAGAATAAGTTTTACCAAAAGCGATTCCACTGTGAAAACTAAGGTGGTCACTTATAATCATGTTAAATCACTTCAATGCTAAAGTTGAGTTAGAAAGCACTTAGCAACCTTGTCCACATTCCTGCAGCAGGCAATGATCCATAGTTGTTGTGTGTGTGCTAATGATACTACCTGGCTACCCAAACTTTGTCAGGTGATGTTCGAACCCGTGACGCGGTGGTTGGAAGTCAACTGCCTAAACCAGTAAGTCAGCTTCACCACTACTAAAGGAGACAGGTTTAGCCAATTGGAAAGACATCTTGAAGTATCTACTCGATCACTTGTTGATAAATGTCTGCTGTCACCTACAATTCCGCTCTGAAAATCACTTGTTCCTAATCAGCAACAACTTCAAACAAAGAGAAACATGATTTCACTTAGTTAGGGCTGCTCATGGCAGACACAAGTTCTTATAAACTGTCGATGGAGGATAACTTCACTTTTTAAGCACGCTTCGACTCTAATTATCTGTTATTGTGAACATGTGCCTACACCCTAGTGTACGTAGATAGTAAACAACTAGAAAGTCTTTGCCCACGACTGAAAAATGAGAACATCAGGTCCGAGGTATTTGTCTGAACATTCTAGCGACTCTCACCCGACTGAAGCCTGGGATAATAGTTTGTCGTAGGAACGGTAGTAGAAAGACTAACTTGCGTTGTACAAAAGCCAGTGGACTTGCTTAGCCTGATAAAAATTGATTATTGTAAGAAAGCCCTATCCAGGTTACTCTTATCACCATGAAATGCTAAGTTTTTTAAGAATGATGATCAAGAATTACTGAATCGAATAACTGAAGTCCGAACTGGCTACTTAGTAACGGAAACTGGTTTCATGAGACGAGTCTAAATAATTCAGCGTTGAAAATCTCAGTCGTATGATTTGCTAGAGCTGAGTAATCATTGAGAACAAATAGCGGTCTGTTATCAGTCGATAGGGTGGGATTATATCACCACTTTGGCGTAGACTAAAATGGAGAGTAGTTTCTCCAGGCAAAAGATCGCGTAATAATACATAAGGTGATGAATGTAATCAGGAATGTAAGGAGTTTTACGAGGTGAGAATTATTTCTAACTTACAATAAAAGAAACAGTTCTTCCTGTGGCACGCACAAAAGCACCGATTTGACTACATAGACATTTAATACCTAAGTGGGAATCACCATCAGAAAACTTGAGAAAGACGATCATGTTTCAGATCTGGATTATAGTTTGTAAATCACTTCCATCCTTCAAAAGGTTTTGGATAACAAATACACTTACCTGCCCCTAATAATCGTCATTTAACGTTTAGGTACCCTTCCACTCTGCTGTCGAAGGTTTTCATGTAGGAGTACGTAGAAAGCATATTTTGCTATTCAAGCGTCTGCTTGAATTAATAATTTAAAGGGTTTGGGAAAAGCTTTCATCTAGTGGTATGCGTGATGTCTACCTTCATCATTCTTATTTTACTTGATTGATGCATTGATGGAGACAATTGTATTGATTACTGACCTCCCAGATATTGACTTACTACTTGAATGTTGCTGCTTCTTTGACTTGTTGGGCAAGACTGCTGACAATGTATTGTCTTCTGAACGCTTTATCAAGTTTTTTAGTTTGTTTAGCACACGTTTATGACCTATCAGAAGGAAGATATTTTAACACTAGTTTGTGTAGATTGTTAGTTCGGTGATAAGCAGTGAAGTAGCAGGATGTGTTTACCACTTCATTTATCTTTAAATCGCACCAGCTCGAATAGGTTGGTTGGTGAAGAAAGAAAGGCCTTTACGTATTGAACGTACCAGCTCCGCCTAAATCAACAAACAGTGTTAGCCGTAATCGAATTGGGTTGGAGGAAGCCTCAGAGTGGTCCAAAAGTGACTTCATATTAGTCTATGAGGTCTTTTTCTGTTTGTCTTAGCCATGTAAGGGGGTGTAGGCTGCCTGGTTGCTGTCCTTGAAATAACGAGAATCATTGGTTGGGAAATCTTGGCGAAAATAGGTTGCAGTCACTCGGATTTATTCTCTTTGAGACCTCCGAATTAACATAAAAGTCAAACTTGTACACTGGTATTATTTTTTAGGTTATCCAGTAAACAGTGGTGTTACACTGTGATACATTTGATGAAAAGACCAAAATGAAATTGCATTTTTGGATTTTTAAACATTTTTATTAACCCTCATCTGATAAATTCTCTCTTCCTATACATATATATACTTTGTTATCACACGTTTTTTATCCACTGGCTCTTTGGATATTGTAAAGTTTGCTCTAATGTCTAAAATTCTATGCTGACTTTGTCTGCCTGTCTGATACAATCTCAGCTCAAATACAAAAAACTCATTTTACATTCGTGCTACCGATGGCGTTGACACTATGTGGCTGCAAATCAAAGAACGAGTAAACGGGATTGCAGTTCATCCTGCTCTGCTGTGCGATTGTGAAATAGTCACTGAAAGTAGAAAGAACAAAAAGGCTATAGGGTTTTAATCATAGATGTGTCCCTGACATCGCTCGTATGTGGTGAAAAGAACCGTGTGAACTCAGCATTACCTGTAAGAATTCAAAATAACTAAGCAAAGTAATCCGCTTTCTTAATGTGTCCACAAGTCAAAAGCACTTCGTTGACAAAATCCCTCGAAAAAGAGTAATATTAAAATGTATAAAGTTGTTTTGGAATTAATAGTGAGACCTGCCAGGTTAGTGATGATAAAAACTAAAGTAAGTTAGCGATTTCGTGAAAGTCTCTGCTATTAGTTTGAATGTAGCCGCTTTTGTGTATATGGATGTATCCGTGAAAAATAATCCAACAAACCAGTAAAGGCCTGTAGTACGACTCCAATTTAGTACGTTTCATTTTCAAGATGTGAAGTTGCTTCTCAGATGTAGTTTTCCTCATTAGATATAGACGCTCATAATCTTTGGTTTTTAAACAAATTTATTTATAGAATGATCTTTCTAACCGTATCTTTTTAGAGTGGCCATTTGTTAGCTGCTCATGATCCTTCGGCATTAAACGATGTTTTGGGTACAATTGAAGTTTATATGACGTAAGTTGTTTCATGGATATACTACTAAGATGTTTTGCTTTTATACGTTTTAACGTTCTCTGAAATATAATTATCCTCTAAAAGCCAGTTTGTCTGTTCTCCACTGGTTAGGATTTATCTTGGCTGAAACCAAGCTAATGAAGTATTTATTGGAGCTGTTTTTCATTTGTCTAGGTGGTTTACTTTCGTACCACTAGACCATGGGTTGAAATCCCCTGCTCCGCCTGCCGAGGTTCGGGTAGCCAGGTGGTATTATCAACCTCTGCAATAGGTGTGACTCGTTGCCTAGTGCATAGACATACGCATGATTGATGAGTTACATTTTTTCCACTTATACATTCAGAACAAATCTTTAAGTCACTGAACCGATTTTGCGTATGCGTTTCAAGTACTGCTTAGGCATTATGAAATGCGTCACAATACATAACTGTTAAATGTACAAATTCGTCATCAGATAGTAATCAATGTAGCTGCCTACTCTTTAGATAACCAGTTTGACTAAGCCAAATGATACCACTTTATTACATTTCTCCAGTTAGGACCTCCCAGCGAACACTAGTTTCCTTTTGGTTGCATACACGCCTTTTTGATGATTACCACCAAGAAGAACATCTAGTTTTATCAGGGCTTCGTGAAGATTGAGTCCTTATCATCTGGAACTCATTCCACGAGCCTTAACGCAAGGATAGATGCCAAATTGGCCATATTGTATTCCGCAGTTCTGCAATATACACTGGTCACTTTCAACAGCTCCAGACGCTGGCACCCAATGATAGCTTGTGAAACCGTCATGGTTTCCACATCATGAAAGCCTGTGTTCCAAGTGCTTTTACTGACAGACAGAATCAACGTAGAACTTAGCACACAAATGCATCGGTTCAAGTCGCCATGTTTCACAGTTGTATACAAAGAACAGGTGAATAGAATGAGTGACATCATAGTAGACAAATTTGTGTGAGAGAATAAACAATCTGAAGACGAAGGTTACTGCGAATATTCGAGCTTTACAAGATGTAAAGGAGTGAATATATCTGCGCCATTGTGACTCATTTTCAGCCTCAGGAACTCCAATCAGATAGCCTACCTCTCTCTACATGGCTCACATCAACAGTAAGAGACTTCGTCGACTGATGCAACGTCTTTCTCTGGTAATTCTGAACTCTCTTCGAACCTAATCGAGCTTTCGCTAACATGGCACATCCAGGTGGTTCGGGATGCTCAACACATGTCCAAGCCATTTCAGCGGATGAAAGTTCAAAACTTCATCAATCGACTTGCCTATCTTGCCTGCTACTCTTCGCCGAACTTCAAAATTGCACACGCAGTGGTTGCATCAAACGCTAGCAGTGCTATGAAGGCATCTGCGATCGGAACCCTGTAACCGCTCTATGTCTTCTTTCAACAGCCACGACTCACAGCCGTATAAGAGAACAGAACAAACATCGTCACAGTACATTCGTTATTTGATAGATAGTCGGATATCTCGCTAGTTGGTGTCAGAGATGACACCGAGGTGAAATCTCGTCAAAAACCAACCCATTCTAACTGATGCAATTCCCCAAGTAAGTGAAGTGGTACTCCCTTCACAGTCAGACACTGCCACCATACCTCAGAGTCTACAGAATCAAATGCTGCCTTCGGATCAAGAAAAATGCCAAGTGTCGACCACTTGTTGGTAGGTATACCTGTATTAGAGAACCTGTCATAGGGTAAACATACTATCAATGTACCCTCATCCAGGTCTGACACCCTGGTTTTCTCGAGTTTGGTGTTCTCGAGGTGTAGCCAGGCGTCGGATAACTATGGAGTGTAGAATCCTTGACAGAGTATTAGTCAAACTAATTCCCCTATGGTTATCACAAGATTTTTCTCCCTTCTTACAGACTGGGATGATCGGAGGGGTAGACCACTCTAATGGCACTACCTTTGATTCCTATACACTACTTAGTGCCTTCGTCATTGTAGTCATCAATTTCCAGCTCCATCCTTGGAAACTTCAAGTGGCAAACTATCTGGTCCAGCTGTTTCGCATCGTTTCAGTTTCGATACACCCTTCTCATCTGTGAGGAGAGTTGGAGTATCAACGTCTACCTCCAATTCAGTTTCATACTTGATGTTCGGCAGATGAAACGTTGGTGAGGGCCAGTTGAGATGTGCTTTCATATTCTTTGTCTGATGTTCTGGCCACCTCTCCTGTGAGTTTATCAGGGTCTCATCCTTTCCGGTGATGGTTTAATTAACCATCGTCCTCTTCTTGCCGGTATCCCTCATAACCGTAAATAGTTTTCAAGTATTACCCAACGCTGATACTTTCTCCATCTGGCTGTCACCACCCACTGCTCCTTATCGTTGCGAAGACGTTTGTTCTATTTACGTTTAAGTTGGTTTAGCTCTTCATCGTGGTCGGAGCCAGCCAGGTCGAATCAGTCTTCTCCAATGACGCTCGCTAATCTAGTGTAGGTTACCAACTGTCTTTACTACTGTTTCTACTGCAGATGTCATGTCACGCCTAGTTTCCTCAGGATGAGCATTGCCGTCACATTCAGATATATGCTTAGCTAACTCCTCTCTTAATACATACTTCACGTCCTCATTTTCCAATCGGGGATAGATAAGTTTTGCTATCGCCTATTACATGCGACCAGTAAGGCACAGACATACACGAACCTGTACGAGCATGTGATTGGAGTCCAAAAGAATATTCCAGAAAGCGGCAATCTTCCACCGATACTCTCTAACGATGGCTTATAGCAATGTTATCTATCTGTGTCCATCGTAGGTTTGATGTTGGTGGACGCCGTTTGAAACGATGCCTTTCCTTATGCTTGAAGTTAGTGTTGGTCAGAAACACTTGATTGTCTTGAAAAAATTGCAATAGATGATCACTGTTGTCGGTTGGTTGGCATGGAATTCCCCAGATACCTTCAGGATGCCTCCGATTGTCTCAGCTTCCCTACTTGAGCGTTGAAGTCACCTGCCATGATGTTTATATTTGAATGTTTTGTTTTCTGTAGGGAACTTGACAGGTTCTCATAGAATTCATTTCTTGCGTCATCCGAACTACAGTTGGTTGGTCCTTCGGTGGAGATAAGGAATAGGCATCGGTTGGTCTCACCATCCGTCCTAGTTCTTACGCATCCATCCAGTCGAACAGCGCAAACGGCTGTTTACTAGTATCCAGTCGAGAAGCACACTTCTGCTCTATCGCTCATGCTATGCTTTCTTGCACCAGCGAGTCCATGAGAGTTAGCTACTGGGTCTCCGGATATTCGTAAGGTGAATTTTGAAGATTTGTCGAACTAGTCAGGTGAGGTCAATTTAATAACCACATTCGGGTTCTGTATACTCGTCTCAGAGACCCAACATACATCCATAGCTGGAGATTCAAAAGTTCTAGCGAGTTCGAACGTTGAAAACCGCAAGATGAAGTCGATGGTGGGGTCTCAGTAGATTAGGAATGAGGTTTCGACGGCTTAGATCGTTGGCGATGGTCGCAGAGAGGGAGGTTGGGAAGGTGTGATAAGCTTAATATTCATATCAGGAGGTGAATGCGAAGGAGGAGAAAGAGAGAGTTAATTGCATATTATATACCACTGAAACCGTGCGAATGGTTGTCATTTCTCGGTTACCCACACTGGAAGGCTAGTCCTTCTAGAGGTACCTGTAAGAGAAGGAATAATGTGTGACCGTATAGCCCATGGGATATCTGCTTGATGCCTGTCACATACGGCCTTTTGGCAAGTTTGAGATTCTGGTGTTTTGCTTTTAAACGCGATTATGAATCCTTGTTGCAGGTATCGGTATGCCGCAAGGGTTGGTAGTGTAGTATTTTTGGGCCAATCTTTTCTAACCCTAACTTCCCAAAAGTAAGGCAGCATCAGCGTGTGACTGTTGGTCATCGAAGGGAAACACTTTACTACTCTCCCACCCCATTCCAACCATCTTTACAACTTCACCCTCAAACCCACATCATAGCGTAGCAATTTACATGATAATGGTAGGTGCTTTTTGTCTAACTACCATCCAAAAAACCTTTCTGGCATGATAGAACCTCGAGGAAAGAAGCGTCCCACCAGCATAGCTCGTCAGGTCATTGCGATATACAAGCTCGATCATCACTTTGAGGTAGCAGCTATGAGTGGGGAATGAGCCACACCTATTGTATAAGGGCTATTTATACTACCTGGCTCCCCTAACCTCGGTAGGTAGAGCGGGCTCTAACCCGTGGATCAATGGTTAAACGTCATCTCCTTAAGCCAATGAGCCACAACTCTACAAAGCTTCATCCGCTAGGCCACTGGGGCACTAATTGAATAACGGTCTACATGATCGCTGAATGCACCCCATCGGATATCAGAATTACATGTCGTCACCACTGAATGTAAGCAGTATTCTTTCCACAACAGTGATCCATCACGGGAGGTTATCGAAAATCTTCATTGCAGGTGGATCACACCTTACAGTGGAGAATAGAACTAACTGCACCAAAGCTGTTGTTCACTCACTCTTCTCATGGTTGGAGTGCCATTTTGTCAATATCAAGCCAGCGTTTTCCTCTGACCTTTGGTAATCAGTTAAAAATCACTTATCACACCACTGGGACTCACAAATACCCATATAAACAAAATTTAGACTAGTCCCAATGGTTAGCAAGAAATTGGCAGCAGGCTAAAAAAATTTTGGTCATTATTTTTTTTGCTTTCTGTATTGTTTTATTTATAGAAACTGTATACCTAATAAATTTCTTAAAGTCAGTCAGGTCATTGGTAGATATGGTTATCACTAAACTTAGAACTGATCCATATTCATTTGTAACTACATTTCAGGAAACGGCAACGCACCCATGTATCACTGCTACGTGTATGGGAATCAGACGATCCTCATCCACAGGAAGATGTAAGCAAACATTTTTTTTTCTTATGATTGGTGCATTTTCATAGTTACAGAGCGAAAAAAATATTGCTCATTAAAATATCGTCTTAATTTCACGTATATCTAAATATACTTACACTCTGTTAATTAATTTGTCTATTTATTTTGTTTAAAACTAACTTATATCCATTTGTGTAAACATTCATTAGAAATATATTTATAGTAAATTGAAATTAACTTGGAACTTGAGCACTAAGGGGCTGCGCTATTCAAAATATTATAGCAACTCTAATAATACATAAAAGTGGCATACAAAGAAGAAGAGGAAGAATGAAAGCAAAAGTGGAAATGTCTTACTAAAGAAGCATACTGAAATAGACGTCCAAAGCAGCATTCACTTTTGATAATGAAACAAACAAGAAAACTGCAACAGTGACCGCCACTAGTTTAAATTCTCAAGTATACAAAACCCAAGCGTGGTTATTCACTTAATGTCACCTGGCCAGTCTAATGAACTCGCAAAACTTACGCTTTAAATTTTCGGAGATTTGATGGCTAGTGTTCGTGGTCTTTCAGGTATAGTAGATTATAGCTTTAAGTTCTAGGCCAGAAAGTGCACTGTTGTGTTAAACGACACAGTAAGGAATAAAAGTAGTGAAACTTGCCATCGTCTCGTTGTACTCTCTGCTTAAGCCCCCACTGACTGCAGTTCAGATGAGTTCTACTGAAAACTGTCCAGCATCCTAGTAAGTAGGCTAGGCCAACGAGAAAGGCTCATAGTTGGGTGTCACCTTGGGAATCCCGGGCGAACAAACATAATGGTGATTACCTGCTACAACTGTGTTCAGACAATCACTTATTTCTGGTCAACACGAACTTCAAACATAAAGAGAGACATTGTCTAACATGGTATCCACCAACCTCAACCCAGTAATGGACACAGGTAGACCATATTACTGTCAGTTATCATGCCTTCAGGATTGGTCTTCGTTAGCGTTTTGTTTAAAAAAAAACAACCTTGGGCCCATTCATTCAGTAGCCAGCAAGCCACACATATCGTGTGAGGACAACCTGGTTGTCCGAATCTCTTTAAGTTGAGCTATCTTCGACCTCGTGACTTATCAGTTGGAAATCAAGTGCCTAGATCAGTAACCCACAGCTGTAGCGCCTCACCCAATAATAGGGATGGAAGTAGTTGAGTGCACTGACCACTTCACCAAGGTAGTTGGATAGGGCCTGATGGATCAGTGACCGATGGAATCTTGGCACGGATAGGAAGAGGTTACTCGCGTTCGTCGACCTATTCCATTCTGGTACCACTGTGAAATACGATTGCCTATTAAGGGTTGAGTTTACTGCACTGCAGTTCGCTGTGGTCTACTATTCGTCTGTAAAACATGACCATTAAAGGTGCCAGGAAGTGAAGAGGCTACAGACGTTCTCATTAAAGATCGTAGGACATGGTTCCATCAGGTGAGTAAAATGGAAGTCAGGCAATGAGTCTTGGAGAGAAGAGGAAAATCAGTTAGTGAGTTTGTGAAACTTCATCACCCCAGGTGACTGAAACGTGTTATGAATGCCTAGTCGCTGTCTCCCTCGTGGAACAATATTAACTAAACTAGGTTTAACCTGTAAAAAGGTTAGAGAATGCCATGTCAAGCTATGACATCAGTTCATGAAATCTGTGACTAGTAATATGAACCATTTATGTAATTGTGAACTTCATGTGATCCGCGTGACAATCGAAGTTGGTAGTTCGAGACTGTGAGATATGACTGAGAATCAATATCACTTGTGCAGACGTATCAACACATCTTAATCATGATATCAAATTTCACTCGCCTTATTCCCTATTTTCGTTTTTTCATGACTTTCTGCCCCATTTTGACTACTTCATAACTTGCTTCTCAACGTTTTACTTCGGTGCCTTTTACTTTGATGTTCTGTTATGAAATGTGGCTACATAAACTGTTTCGCAGTATTATCACCTACTGACTGACTGTTAATCACAACGGCTCCAAAGGTGACCTAGATTGGTGTACACCACTCTAACTTTCGACATGCGCTTGGGAATCTCATCAGGCACACCTCCACAACACTCATAGCCACCCAGGTAAGCATAGTCTTCGACAACTTCCAACACTTCACCACCAAAGGTCAATGAAGATTCAGGCTTCTGCCAGTTTTGAGAAAAAACCTTTCCAGTTTGTCGGCTCAAAGCACATGCTATGCCTAATTACACTGATCGCTGACTGACAGTATGATTCGAGTAGTCTGTATGCTGTACTACAATAGAACGATGTCACCTACATCACTGAAGATATCCACGCCATCGGTAGCTGATTGCATCAAGTTGTATTTGAGTCAACTCCTGAGTTGCAGAGGGAAGACAACAGACAGCACAGCAGTGGTGGTTGTGCCGGTAGTTCGTGCTGTTTCGAACTATGTTTTGATTCATCTTGGAACTGCACCAGACTAGTTCCCGTTGGACACTTTAGATGACTCTCTTCTGAGCCCAAAAGCCTAATCTGCGTATTAAAGTCCTCAGCTAGCCTTACAGTACATGTCATGGGAACTACATTGAGCTTACTAAATTGATAATAGGTCCCATTCTTTACTGCATCCGCTCTTAAGTTAGTTGGAGAATAGACAGGCGGTGAAGGGATATCGTTTTTTTGGCAGTTGTCTTTCATTTTGATCTGGCGTTATTGCCTAACGGTACACCAATTACTGCTAATGTGGATCTAGTCGACTGATGCAGCTTTCTCTCTGGAAGTAATATGGCATCAAAAATAACACCAGAAGCCAATGCCGCAGGGTCGCCAGATAAGCGCGCATGAGCTGAGTGATCGACAAGTTATTAAAAACATTCCAGTATGATCTTGTATCCAGGTATCATCTTAAACCACGCACTAAACTAGTTAGTTTTTCAAGTTTTTATCTTTATGCGTTAGTTGTTGCACTATATTCATCCTTTGTGCAACATTTATGTACACAGAGATGTATTTCTATTCGTTATTGTTGTACTGAGTACCGTCAAAATAAAGTGTCAATTCTGTGTGTCCCCTTCGTTATACTGCTTGATAAAAAATAGCCAATTTTGGATTTAATCAGAACTGTTTATCTCATTGTTAGTTTGAGCATGTGTCGCATTTCGAAGACGACTGAGCGCTTCTTACTTATTTGAACACCAGTTGTTTAAACTCAACTATTGGCTGTGTAGCATTTGTTAACAAGTAACATCTGATATTCTCCACAGTTCTCCGTCCCCACATTTCATCAGCCTACCTGTAATATCACCTTGAATTTTCATCTTTTCAATTGTACAAGGAAATTCTGTTTACATTCTCATAGTCGTCAGTTTTGTGCTGTCTTAGCATCCAACCTTGAATATTGTAATAATCGATTTATAGCTTGAGCTAGTGAGCGGGAGACGAAGTGTTTACAGTTTACATTTGACACTTATCAGTCCAATATATTCATCCAGTTTTATTACGTTGTTTGATTTTAGTCTCTGGATTGTCTCTGGGCTCAAATATGCAATCTTCGAGGTGCAGGTTGGGTGGAGAAGGTGACATGGAGACTATACGATTCTTTTCCAAGTTTAAGAGAACATGGTCAACCTCATAAATTGTCACCTGTAAGTCAAGCTTCTATTTCATTGAGTTATCCTCAGTCTGTATTGAAAGTTTAACTGAAGAGTAAAGTAGTTTGATTTTTTCTTTTCAGCTTACACCTCCAGATTATGACACAGAGGTGATATACCCTCTTCCTTCTGTTGTTTTTCGAATGTTTGACTACACAGATGTAATAGATCAAGATGAGAATGATATCATTCCCAATTCCGAATCATCTTCAGATCCCATGAAGTCAGCTAGGGAAACTCATGTTCTCCCTGGAGCTCATACTATTGAGCGGTTCCTCATCGATGAACACTTGGCTATTTTGATGAATAATTTAAGTTTCAACAGAGTTATGTGGTAAGTAAACTGGCTTTCTTTTCTTTCTTTTTTCTATTTTCTAATACTAGCTAGTAATTAATTATACAGCAGGCTTTGACCATGATGAGGAGCGAAATCAATTTAAATTGACTGACAATCTTCGGTATGATCGCTAGTATTAGTGTGTGGCGAAAGAGATAGAAAAAACATCAGGATTAGGTTAGTATCCAGCAGTTATTTAGACCGACAAGAAGAAGACGACGGTTGGTGGAATCATCACCAAAAGTGATGGAACTCTAATGAACTCTCCGAATAAGTATTGAAGAAATTGGGTGGAACACTTTAAAGCACACTGTTCAGCTAGTTGACAGCGTCTAGCCCGACTGTGAATAGAACTTGAGCGTCGGTCCTCCAACTGTCCTCCAAATTGAGAAGTAATAATGATGATAATCGTTCTATTACAAACAACGTGTTGGATATGGTATAAAATTTTCAGCGTGTCGAATTTAAATCAACTCCGTGTACAATATTTTAAACGAGATTATTACCTCCGAATGATGACAATAACAACTGTATTAAACGCAGTAATGTTAAACTTCAAGCTGATGTTAGATTAGTCTTTCTTGGGGAAGGGGGCATGAATAGAAAATCGAGCGTGACGTGGTGGTGGTGGTGGTTAATTTATCCAGTGCAAAAATCTAAGTTTCCTGGGCATAGTATTGTGATGTACTTTTATACATCCGAAATTCTGTTTCCATCCAGTGTGACGTTTTCTCTTCGTTTTCTTGCTAACTTGAAAATCAGCTAGTGAGAAACATTTTACAAATGTGCAAGAGTACATGATACGTTTTTGAGACAAATTGAAAGGGAATAATTTTATGTTATATATTCTGTGGGGAATTTTCGGTAGCCCAATGTTCAAGCAGGTCACCACCTTTATAAGGCTACTGCAAACCTGGAACGATGCAATGCAAGAGGAACTGACAGTTTGCCACTAAAAGTTCTTAAGGATGGAGGTAGGAAATTACTGAATAGGGTAACGGGCGTGCTAGGTGGTATGTGAGAGTTAGAGATAGTTCAGTCAGACTGGTCTACTTCACTGATCATTCCAGTACATAAGAAAGGAAAGATCTTGTAACGACCTTGTGGGAATCAGTTTGACTTACATCGTATCCGGGATCCTTAAGTTCATAGCTATCCAATGCCCAACTAAGCCTTGAGAATGACAGACTAGAGGAAAGCGGGAAGGTTTCAGACCTGAACGAGAGTGCATCGATCAAATCCTCACCCTTTGACAAGTATTGGAACACAGGCATAATTACCGGCCAGTGGCCAACACTTGCCATATTTCTCGACTTGAAGGTGATATCCGACTCTGTCGACCATGAGCTGCTGTGGCAGTGTATAACTAAAAGGAGTACCGAGCAAGTATTTAAACTAATCAAGGTTCTCTACTTAAACTCAGCCATATAAGGGCTTATGGAGAATTGTCATTTGAATCGACGACAACCAACTAGTGATGTCCGCAACAGATGCCCACTGTCACCGTTCATATTTAATTTCGCTATAAATGTATCAATGGTCATAACCTTAGTTACGTCTGAATTCACAGTGATTGATCTACTTCCTGGATGGCATATGGTTAACTTGGATAACTTACGCAACATATTCCTGTTAGGTGAAGACACTGACAAAATGTAGTGTCTTCTAAACGCGGAGATTCGACTATGCTTAGCATGAGTTTGGCACCTCTCAAATCTAAGGCGATGCTTGCGGACTACTGGTCTGCAACTTCTCCCAGTTTGAGGGTGTATGGTGTAGTGGTAGGATGTGTTGACCACTTCGCTTACTTGGGAAGTTACATGAACCCGAATAGGTTGGTTGTTGACAAAATGTCAGCTGAGATGCAGAAGGACAGTTTGGCATTCGCCAACTTGTTTTCATATCTGGTGACGCCGACCACCAGTTAAAGAATGAGTATACTGCGCCGCAGTCTATTCTGCCCTGTTATATAGCCTTGAGAATTGACTGTTAAAAGTATCAGATGTGAAGCGGCTACAAGCTTTTGTTCAGGTGTCTTCGCAGCATTTCTCGTGTCTTGTGGAACCGCTATATGAAGAATTTCGAGGTAAGGTGCCAGGTACTAGGAAAGGGAGGCAAGTCAATCAATGAGGTTGTAAACCTTCATCGGGGTCAGTGTAGACTCCCCAGGCTGCTTTCCTACTTCACTTAATTGGATTTCTCATTTGGCTTGGATCTGTGACAGTTTTGTGTCAGACTGATATTGATCATATACGTTCGTGTTTTATTATCGTCGAAATATTTTCTTTTCAGTGCCAAAGCCTTGCTAGGACTCAAAACTCGAGCAAAAGTCGCTCTAAATTATATGATCATTGAAGCTATTTTTGCTGGAATGTTTACTTTACCTCGTCCACCTGTCCAACATGGTAATCTTCTGTTCTATGGCAGTTTGCTTATTCAATTATGTCACGAAGCTGGTAAAACCATCCCTCTTGTGGTGGCTCAAGCGGCTGAAGTTGTATTTGAACGTTTAGAAAACATGAAGCCCGTCTGTATTGGAAGGTAAGATTGAAGCTCAAAATAGAAAACTATGCTTTATATCGCCATTCACTGTGATACGCCTGACTGACCGATAATTCATGCTTTATATTATCTAGCTTATGTTGTGACCGAGTGGTGGGGTTGCGCGCTTGGGTATAATGAATACTGAGACTCAGTAGACACCTCAACCGAATACCTTTACGACTGACCTCCCTCAGTACCTTCTGCTTCACTGAGCCGCGGAGAAATCAGAAGACAAAGACGGCCTGTGACTGCAAGAACAGCGACAACTTTTATTAGGCAAATACATGACATATGTGTATTTGCAAAACTCTCAGAAAGTGAAACCATAAATGAACCAATCCGATTTTTGTATGAGGTCGAACTTCTCTAATCAGGTTCTCAGGTCAGCGCATGCGACCTGAACATGATCAGATCATGACTTGAAAACAACTCCCCTATTGGCTGCCTTTTGTCGCTATGTATCAGCTTAATGCCTTTTTCTCTCTTCAGGTGTTCACTTTTGCACAATTCATAGGTGTCACTCAACAATGTTTGATTTTATATGCTTTCTGGAAGTGTGTAATTCATCATCATCCATCAACACAGGACCTGGCATTACTGCGTAACAGTCCGAGTTGCCACAGCTCATATCAGTACATCAAGTAAAAAAGGCAGTGAGGTGCAAGATGAAGATAAGAAAATTCAGTCAAAAGAAATATAAAGTACGGACCTACTTCGGTCAACATTGTGTGACGAGGCAATCGGCGACTAGACATGCGTAATACGTGTCCCAACCATCTCAATCGATGAAGGTTCATAACCTCGTCTTCTGATTTACCTCTACTCCTAAAACTCTACACCTAACTTCTGCATTACTCATGTGGTGACACCACAGAATACGGCCTATACTACGAAGGCAACGGTGGTCAAACACTTGAAGCCTTCTCATGTCTTCCACCTTCAATGGCCATGTTTCACAGCCATACAGTAGAACAGACCGGACTGCTGTGCAAGTGCAGTACACGCGACCCTTAATTGACAAACGGATACCACGGCGGCGCCATATGTGGTTGTAGTTGGCAAAAGCCAACCGAGCCTTCTGTGTTCGTGCAGAAATTTCATCGGCCACTGAGCCACCAGCGCAGGGCTGATTCTACTTCCCAGGTAAGTGAAGTGGTCGACACCCTCAACCACTTCACTTTCGATTGTTAGCCGCGATGGGGCACTGTTGAAGACCTATCGTGCAGCAACAATATACATTTGGGTGGTTAGAAACGCATCCCAAACATTCTCAAATTGCCACTCAAAGTGTTCAGAACACTATGCATCTTGTCAGCGTCTTCACCTAACAGGACAATGTCATCTGCATATTCTAGGTCTAACGAAAATTCTCCTGTGATTATGTCAACCTTTGTGTAGTCAGGTGACGAGAGGAGGAAGTGTGTAATTACTGAGTTTCCACTACTATTCCATCTTGGAGCTTAGACTTCACAGTGGTCCTCAATTATCCTTGACTGGAAAAACCTAGGTAGTGAGTATGTTTCGACTACTGTGTCCTCGAAACCACTATGAATATCAAATGCATTGGAAATGATCACAAGGAAAATTCTGTGTGAATAAGATTGAGACCTCTGAGAACTCTCTCTCTCTTCACTAAAGCATTTGCTTTTCTTTGAAATGAAAAACTTTCGGTTCTTTGTTATTAGTTTGGGTTGCAATTTGCTTACACTTTCCACACGACATGTATGACTTGCACTTCATACATAGTCCTTCCATATAACTGAACCATCATGTTTGCTGACGACGCTTGCCTAAGCGCAAAGGTATACGATTCCTTTTAGCTTCATTTGTCTCCAGATGTCACATTCTTAGCTGAAATTTGTTTCCTACATTTTATGTCATGCTTGTGTTTATCCCTATTCATGATATCAACAAATCTTATGCCGGTATCTACGGCTTTCATATTCCTTAACACTTCCACAACTTCCGATCGTTTTAGCAAGTTTAGTGCATAAATAATTAGTATCGATATTCAGATAAATTGTTGGTAAACCATATTTCATTCACAGGCTCTAACATGTCTAAGGGTGGGATTAGCCTGGTCATTTTCACCAAATGATTTTCACACGGCTGCCTATTCTCCCAAGGAAGTCGTAGTCATTTCTTCTATGTGGCTGTAGTGTTTCCACGAAAGTGTGGGTAGTGAAAGTAAATGTATGCCGCTATAACTGGACTGATGTACACAAAAGGGATACCTAGGGGAGTTGAAAAACCTTGACTCTAAATCAGTGGTGCATATGGACCCTACATTCTAGGATGGAAGAACGGAGTATGAAACTATCTTGTTCACCGGCAACCATAGGAATGCATCACCTCATGTTGCTCCACTGTCTTGTGGATCAGAATTCAAGTCCAAGTCTCGCTCAGTAGTTCCTTAGGACAACTACATGATTTAGTATGGACATCCGGATAGTATCACAGCCCATATACAGTTTATGAATCGCCATTAACAAGGAGGATTACAAAGCACGAATTAACATTTGTGGTTAAATAGAATGTTTTCTCAATCATACCATTTGTCCCAATGTCCTCGTCATGGGTCTTACTTAAGAAACATAGTTTCTTTTCGTTATCATCTTCAAATTTATCTCTGTACGGATCTTTGTTCCACCCAGCTTCTTGTCAATGACTGAAATCCTGGGCTGTCGACACTATCTTGTGCCATCAGATAGTTGTTTCCACAAACCTGTCCTTCGGTATTTTATCTGATTCAATCATACTGTAACCATGCTTGCTATCTAAGCAGGATATTTCCAAATTTCGGACTTTGATTCAGGATAGACAACAGATGGGTTAGACTAGGACTCAGAAAAGACTCACTATTGATGCACATATCACAATCTGTTTCCACCCAGAACTAACTTGCGACACAGCTGTCGCCGTTGGGCTACCTGTTCTCCTCCCTCTGCAACTCAAGAATCGACACAAACAGACCTTGACGCCATTAGCCACTGATAGGCTTTTCGCTACTCCCGAAACACCAGTCTGCATTCTCATCACGCTTTAGTGTATGCTAAGTTCATCTCGCGTTTTCATCGTAATCAAAATCTTCATCTTTAGTGGGTCGACGCAAACAAACGAGCTACAGATGGTATTGCAACTGGACTACCGACCAAGCTAGATTCAAGGCCAACTGTTGGACCTTCAGAAAGTGTAGATGATCACTGTTTACTCTTACAAGATGTCATGGAAACGACGGGTAAAGCTGTTTGTGACTTTGAAATCCGTCTCGCTAATAAACTCTGGGTTTCTGTGAGCTCCTCGGCACTTCTTGACGCTCATCGATGTATTCCAACAAGCAGCGAGTACAACAGAGTGCGTAACTTCTTTATACAACAGATAAAATAGAAATTGTGGAAGGACCATGACTCTTGGTGGTAAGAACAGGCGACTGAGATTGAAACAGTGGCTGCATCTGATCGGAAGCTATTCCGGCCCAATCGACTCACAAACATCAAGATGCATATTCTCAGTGACACAGTCTGTGAAGTCAATGGTACGCTGGTCACCAACGTTTGCAGACACTTTGAGCATTTTGAGAAGCGGTTTGGTTGCCCTACTGCCCAACAACATCGACCTCAGTATTTCATGCTCTATTGTTAGTTTCGGCCCACATAACGAAGCGGAGGTCAGTGAGTAACTCCAAGTTCTGAAGTGCCCTAAGGCACGCAGTCAACAAGACTTACTTACCAGTTCTTTTTGAGGATGAAGGTGAGACGGTAATCAGGGAACTGCCTACATTTTTTTGGGGGGGGGGGATATAGCAGGCTTAAAGTGTTCCATCACCCTCGAATGAAGCTACTATTGTACTTATCCTTCAAAAGGGCGTACGCAATGCATTTGATAAATAATCAGTGTGGTGCCAGTCTGCTACCGGTATGGTCTAAAGTGATGGCTGCCATCATACTTCACAGGCTCTGCGATCGTGGGAGAAACTGATGTTTGTAGTTCCCAATGTCTGGGATGCACTTGATTTGTTGGAATGAGCTGTAGTCTGAAACTGTCTATTAGAAAGGGATGTGTCTACGAAGCTTATTACCCTATTCTTCAACACTTTCTTAGGCTGAGTGAAGGCTCACAATCGCTTATCTCCATTGTTCCTTCATATTAGTGGGGTAAGCAAAGTCGCCTAATTTTGCCATTCCTCTTTCAATTCGCCGTCGATGACATTCTCAAAGCAGCACTATTGTCTCTGATGAGTTGTTTACATCCTATAGAAACGCCGTATATGTCATTCTGAGGTGGTGTTTCATTGGGATGATGACCCTCATCTATTGCTTGTGGTCAATTTGAAACACTGGCTTCTATGACTTTAAAGTGTGTTTCACATGTCATCTCATCGGTTCTCATACTGCTTACTGTTCGCTTGTACTTGGCTTGGTTAAAAGAAGTAGATGGGCAGTTGGTGTAAGACGCAGCATCGTTAAATCGAGGGTAGTTGCGGTGGATTGTCTTTTATTGGTGCCTCACGATACTCTGGATGGGCCCCGAGAATTTGTGAGGCTCGGTGGCTGCAGACTGAGGAGACATGGCTTAGAACTGGACTTTGTAGTGACGATGCAGCAGTTTTTTTTTTATCTGTTTTGCTGAAAATGGAACCGAAAGTAGTGGACACTTTTACAGACGTATCTCCTATACTGCTCCTTTAGTAACCGACTTCTCTTTTTGTTTCCATTTCCTGTATCTTCCTTATGTTTCTACATTATTTTGTGTGGTGCATTTCTCTTTGTGCCAGTGTTTTGGCAAGTTTGTGTTCGAATAATGATAAATCGTAATTTTGTCACCTTACATTTTCATATTCAAGTAGTATCATATCACAGCAAACGCAACCAAAATCCCATTCCATCTCCGCTGTACGTGATTACAAATGAGAATTGCATGTTTAACGCGTAACTGTGTCCGTTATATTTAATCGTTATGTTTTTTCTAAGACATTTATTTCTAACTAATTTGGTTACTAAAATGTTGTTTCTTTGTAGATTCATTGAATGGTTTTCGTATCATTTAAGTAATTACCAACTGCAATGGGGCTGGAGAGAATGGTCATCATGTCTTACACAAGAACCTATGTCTCCTCAAAGACGTTCAATCACAGAAACTTTGTGTCGATTGATACGGTGAGTAGTAGTTCTATAAATTGTTTCCTATCGCTAAAATATTGCCCACTTATGGTTATAGCAAAACTTTTAACATCTCAGTTAATAATGTTAATATGTCATGTCTTTGGACGTGACTTCAAAGTACTAATGATACTTTTTATCCGAAACAAATCTACGGGGGAGCGATTTTTTTCTACTTCTTACCATGCCATTTTACCTATGCATTGCATGGGTTTGTGGTGGTGTGGTGTCCTGGTTCTTGTGCAATATCAGCATTGAACGTGGTTCTAGTGAACTCTAACCACCAGTCTTTGAAGTTATTTTATTGCCTAGTTTTTGCACCATGATGAAATTCAAGACTGGATGTAGTTCTTCATCAACCTTAGATCTTAACTTTTACGTAAATGGGCCCTAGGTTCAACCTCATCCGACGCATGTACTTCATCCTAGGCGACCGAGTAGTATAATATACCCTTATACAACTAGTGTAGCTTATAGGCTAGTAAATATACTCGTACTTGGTTGGGTCGCATTTCGCAGACAGTCATTTGCATTCAATTCATCACTGTATTTATTTTCATGGATAGCACCATTTATATGTAGGGGTTGCTTAATCAAGTAGAATTGATTCATTAGGTTGTGTATGTCTGTGTTGCGTACCATCTGTGGACTAGTCGAGTTAGTATTAATTTTCGACTCCATGTATGGGTGATGATAGTTCTTTGTGGTATATGCATTTTTCCCTGTCAATTAATTCTTTTGTAAACATGCACTTTCAACATCACTTTCTGCTGACGACCACCTCTACTGTACATTTTGTTTCAGTTTCTCTTACTATGAAAATGTGAAACGTCTATTGCCAAAATCATTTTATATCCTTTTACCACCTCAACCTACTGTTATTAATAAGTATGAAAAGAATCCAGGTTAGTTCTAGCTTCTGCTTTTTCGTTGATAGGTTGTTTATGTGTTTCCATTAAATAAGCTTTGTGGATAATCATTCATTATAAACTTTATTTTAACAATAGTGATCTACTCCAATGGTTTTCTGTCGCAACTGCTACGAGTGTTGCATTTATCCTAGGATCCGTAGTTGTCCGACGTCTAACTGGAGCTCAGACCTGGACGAGGATACATTGATCATATTTTTACTCTAAGACAGGTTCTGGGGCACAGGCATATATACCAGTCAGTGACCGACACTTGCTATTTTTCTTGACTCTGTCAACAGTGAGGTGTTGTGGCAGTATCTGACTGTGATGGGGGTACCGAACAAGCGGTTAACGCCGAACTCGAACTTACGCAGCCATAAAAATGCTTATGGAGAGTTGTGATGTGAATTGACGACAACTAGTGGTGTCTTTCAGAGAGGGATGCCCACTGTCCCCGTTTCAATTCAATTTCGTCATAGAGATACTGATGGACACAGCCGTATTTACGTCTTACTTCACAGGGATTAACCCACTCCATGGAGTTCATTTGATTGACTAGGAGTATACATGTAATATTGTTCTTCTAGATGAAGACACTGACAAAATGCAGCGTCTTCTGAACGTGTGGAGCAGAAATCGGAGTAGTTTTGGCTAGCATGCGTCTAGCACCTATCAAATGTAAGACGATGCTTTAAGACTCGTCTGCAACCCAGCGAGATATCCGACTATCTGTCAAAGGATGAGTATACTGCGCTACAGTCCGTTCTGTCCGGATATGCGGCTATGAGACATGGCCGTTGAAAGTAGACGACATGAAGGGGTAACACGTGTCTTCGTAGTATTGCTGGCATGTGGTGGAATCACTGTTTGAGCAATGTTGAGGTCAGTCAGACGTAGGGTCCTGGGTAAGACAGGCAAGTTGATGATAAAGTTGTTAACCTTCTTCGGTTGAAATGGCTGGGACATGCGTTGCGCATGCCGAGTCAGCGCCTACCTCAGCGTGCCATGCTGAGGGAAGCTGGACTAGATTGGGAGAAGGTCCAGGTTCTCCAGACCAAGACGTCTCACCAGTGGATAATGTCCTCTGACTGTTGGTGTGAGTCATGTTGGGATATGTTGACTGTCTGGTTGAGATCCCGGAGACGAAAGAAATCTGTAGTTGAGGACACTTGCTGACACGACTGAAAATCAGTCTTTTGTATCCGCTTGTTCTTTGTATACTACTGTGATGTGTGGCAACCTAAACCGATGCACTTATCTGACTGAATATCACTGAAGTACACAAACTGGTCACTTGATGACAATTGGTGCAGTTCCTAAGTACTGATTGCAACCACTAAAGCGAATGACGCTTTGTTTTGGTGCTAATTGTTTACTAAATTGCCTATAGTAGAATTTGGTTGAATAAAGGGATAATCGGCAGTGGGGATCAGGAAGCGTGTTTCTTTCTATTTACAACTATTCTCCAACCATCTGGCTCAAAGAGACTATGAACTAACCGTATTCTATCTTTTATGTTCAACGGGAAGCAAATAAGTTGGATTGGAATTTTAAGACAAGTATGTGAACAAAGTAGTAGTCTTAGCGTGCGTATTTTGTTGACAAATACGTCCTGTTACTACGGCTATATAACTTAGTAACCATGTGAAAGACTTACGATTTTATTTATGTGTCGGTGTTTATTGATTAATTCAGTATTAGTTTTAAGTGAACACTCATTCTTCTGACTCAGTCATGTGTGCTAGCGTTCTGAGAGATCCTGACAACACGATAAAGATACATATTACTCAAAAAATCCCATATCCATTTCAAACTTCATGAGAAATAAAGAGATAAATAGATCATTCATATGTCATAGTGGTTTACGCATCACAAATGAGTACTGATTACTAACCTTATTTCATGGGATTCCTCATACCTCATCTATATGTGGTAAAATCTAATATTCATTTAGACTCGTATGTATTTTCAAAGAAGCATTCATTTCATCTTTTTTTCCAGAAACCGATGAGAACTGCACGTATGCCTGTGGAACACCGGTGACACTTCAAAATGATGAGATGTATCTCTTCCACTGTATAATAATGGTTATTTCGTTCTCGGATTCGTAGTACAAATGCCTTGAGAAAAATCTTAAGTTGACTTACTTATCCCACCTATTGATCTGCCAGCACTCAGATTGCACGGTCGAAAATTGAAAGCGATAGGTGAAGTGTGGAAGTACTGCACCACTACATAGGTGTTTTAAACTAGTCGACTCGGTTCGTAGACAATAATTCCCTTGTTAACTGTTAAAATGCTTTCAAGATTTGCCATGCACACCGCCTGAGTTATCGAAGAGATTTTGAGTGATTCTATGACTTTTTTGAAAGGATACTTTTTGATTAGGTTATTCTTACTTACTGAAAAAGTCGAATGAACTGTTGCCTGTAGTGGATACTTTTATTTGTATCTCTTTTATTCTCTTTAATTGTTTACATTACAGAATTACCATCTGCGCGTGCATTCCTACGACTTGTTGACTCAATGCGATCACGTCTTGAGCCTCAAAACATCCTGAGGATTGCTGAAAATGCCGCTCATTGTAATAGTCGACGTCGTTCAATTTCAGAACCATTTGATGACGATGGCTCTAGAACTGAGGAAAAGGATGATGATGAAGATGAATCTAGTGATAACAGTGAATCTCAACATAGTGATGAGGAACGCCGTGGAAGAAGCCCTATTGACACTATTCCTTTATCAGACCCTGAGTTTGATGATCTAGATGATTCAGAATCTGGTAAACAAGCAATGCGTGCACGTCTTAAAGCACGTCGACGAATGCTACGAGAAAGTGCTATGAAGCGAAAAATGAATCTCTCATCAAACGATAAGCATAATGAAATCTTGGGAATAAAAGGGGATACTGTTGAAAAGTCACCATATACTCCACCTCCAGTGACTGAACTTTCTCCTGGTGTAACCAATTTGTCTATTGAATTGTTCTTTTCTGCTCTATTAATTGCTGGTCATAAAACAATAAGTCACACATTTGCATTCATTAAAAAGTTAGTTGTTTTTATTAAAAAAAATTTAAAATGTTTTCTAGTTGCATTCGTTTTTTTCATGCTTAATTTTTGTTGATAAATGTTTCAGTGTGAAATCAAAAGCCTTTCTTAACAATTCTGGATGTTGAAGTACTTTTGAGATAGATGTACTTCGTGTATTAAATAAACACGTAGAGTCGATTCACCAACTGTGTTACCAGTTTAGGAAGCGAAAAATATGGATCTAAACAAAGTATAGGGTTTAGACCACCGATAGAAATTAATGCCATCTTAAACGGAAAGATGACCGTGAATGACCTGTCTATGACAAGGAAATATGGTAAGTTATTTAACTCACCGTCCTATTAAAATCAGTCAGAAATTCACGAATTATATGCTAAATTCGCTCCACCTCTCCCCTTCAAACGCGATCTGTGCATATGAAAATAAAATTAACTCGTGAAGTTGTAACATTAAAACAATATACACACCTTGAACATTACTTGCTTGCTTACGAATTAGTATCGTATGTTTTTTTTCGCGAATACCCTTATACTTCTATTTTTATTGTGTATAGGTATGCTGGCGTTATCCGTACTCTTACATCGACAGTTGAGACGCAGGTGGAGGCTTTACATGTGATTCAAGCAGTATGGGCTAATAATCCGCAAATGATTGTCATCATTACAGAGCATATGTGTCGTGTTGGTCTAATTGACCCGGAAGCTGTTGTACGATGGGCGTATTCCCCCATAATGACATCACTAACAGACAATACCATCAACTTGAACTCAGCGAGTGCTCGTCCGAAAATTTTGGAGTAAGTGTAATAGTGCTGAATTATGTTCAAAAAGTTATCTTCTCCCTTGAAATACTGGTACAAAGGTATATTTTCAAATTAATATATATATATATATATATATATATATATATATATATATATATACCAAAAGGATCAATTAATTTGAGTGACTTTAGCAACAGCTAAAGTTTTATAGACGGCTAACCTAGGCCTTTTTTCTCAATAAACCTGTAAATGGTAATTATCTATAGACATTTTTCATAGCAACGGAACACTGCATACTTTTCAATGCCACATAAATTTTGCATCTGTTGACAAATTTTAACCGGTAGCCATTCTGTGTCAGTGTTGTCGTCAGTAAGTTGGTTTCTTTCTCCTTGGTGTCATTGTTGCAGATGCTGTTGAATAAGCACCTAACTAAACCACGTTTATATTGGACTGGGGAGTAGCTACGGAAACTAAGGTATCATACCAGTCCCCGTAGGCTTTCTATAGATCGACCTTTCGTCGATTCTGCACAGTGTCTAAGAGTGGTAGCTGGTTTTTTCGTCTCCTCTTCAAAAAGTAAGGCCGAAGTGATTTTCAGCCGTGTTCCTCCGTAAAACATATTATGCAGCTTATGTCGTCATTGTAGAAATGACAAAGTCTATGTTACAACACAAATGATTGCATCACATTCCACTGTGTTTATCAGTTCACATGAATGTGTGGACACACACAGGGAGGAGTAATCGTGATATGCAGTTAAGCATAGTTGAACATGTACCTGACTGGCTTCAAAAACAAATGGCGTCAATAGAGCCGATAAGTGCAGATGACGATCGTCCATTCTTCGTCTATAGCTAAACACATACTATAGAAACTAGTCACACGGTAGACATGAAAACAACCTTTCAAGTACTACATCAAAGTGATAATGGCTGAGTGCTTAAATTTATGGAAGCCCTTGTCATGCGTAAATTTAAACTCCCTATATGTGTGCACAAAAGTAATTTGTATTCCCATTGAACCTACCTTGGTAATATTATTTTAATTTTCATATCAAGACTGATATGATTTAGATTTTGTTTCTTTTCCCCTCCCCTTCCTATTCTCATGTTTCCTGTTGACGAATTAATTGACTCTTTTTGTGAAGTATTCATATAAAAATGGTTCGACAAGTTCATGTGACAGCGCCACGAGTAGCATAAACAGGTAGTGACTGCTAAACCTTAACATTTTATTCAGTTCAGATATCTACCCTCTGTTAGTGAGTGGTATCTGATTGTGAAGGGAGTACTGAACAGGTATATAACCTTAATCAAAGCTCTCTACTCAAGCAGCCGTATCGGGGCTTATGACTAGTTGTCTTCACAATCGACGACAACCAACCAGTGGTGTACGCAACAGATTTCCACTGTCACCGTTCCTATTTATCTTCGTCATTGACGTACTATTGGACATAACCTCTGGCTTCACAAGGATTGATCTACTCCCTGGAGGCCGTCAGGTTGACTTGGGGTATGCAGACGATATTGTCTTGATAACAAAATGCAAGGTCTTCGGAATGCGTTGAGCAAAAGTCTGGGTATTTTTGGCATGTGTTTCGCTGGCACCTATCACATGTAAGGTGATGTTCCAGGACTGGTCTCCTACAAGTACTCCTAGTTAAAGCATGGAAAGTGAAGCTGTAGAATGTGACGAAATCTCAGCTAGGGTACAGAAGCCCAGTCTAGCATTTTCCAACTCACGTCATCTGTGGTGCCGTTTGGAGACATATCTGAATGTCTATCAAAGGACGAGTATACTGCGCTGCAGTCATTTCTGTCTTGTTGTACGTCTATAAGACATGGCCGTTGGAAGTATCCTACATGAAGCGACTACAGGTGTTTTGTCATAGGTTGCTTCGTAGTATTTCTCGCGCTTGGTGGAATCACTGTGTGAGCAATGTTGAGGTCAGTCAGGCGAAGGGTCCTAGGCAAGACAGGCAAGTCGATTGATGAGGTTGTGAACTTTGATGGACTTAGATGACTCGGACATGTGTTACGCATACCAAGCCACCGCCTACCTTAACGTCCTATGCTAGAGTATGTTGAGTTATATCGAAAGCTGGTTCAGGGTGGCCAGACTGAGATGTTGCACTAGTCGTTGAAATCTCCGATTCTTGGTCTGAGCCGTTTGGGGCAATATAGACTGCCTGGTTAAGGTCTTGGCTAAGAATCAGTGATTGAGAACTCTTATTTACATGACTGAAAATCAGGCACAATGACACAGATGAAATCTCTCCTGGACATCTTTTAGAGCTCAAATATGTGCACTGACGTTCATCTTCAAACTGTTTATTTTGTCACACTACTTTTATGTCACCCGTTTTCTTTTCACCTGTTCTTTGTATACTACTGTAGAATGTGGCAACTCGCACGGATGCACTTATGTGCGAGGTCCTACTTTGATTTTGTCAGTCAATCCTCTGTTGGATCAATTTGAAAGACTGTACATGATTGATCTCGGACTCAGATCAGTCTGAGGACGAATGACATTTGCTCATCTTTCTACGCAGCCGTTGCTATCATTATAAACATAAGCCTATGTAAATAGGTGCAGAAAAAGTACCACCATAGTGCGAAATGTTGTATATGACGGACGAGTGACTGATTCTAAAGGTCACCTTAAAAACTACTAAAGTAGCCAGTTAGTTTCTCAATTTCTGCTAGAAGAACGGTACTTTTCATGAAACAAAGAGACCAAATTAGCATCTTCAGTGTTTGCTGAAGTGGCCTTTGGAGTCGCTATGTCTTTACTGTGACGATCTCTATATGTTGTATATTGGTTGATTTCATCAGTTGGTCCCAAAGGTGATGATGTAACTGCACTTTGTTGCATGCGTTAATTGTTTTGCTTATTATACGATGAGAACTGTTATATTTTCTGGTCAGTTCCTTGCGTCCTAGTAACGATGCAAATTGCAACTTACTTAGACTTCAGATGATCGCAACCTATGTCAATTAAATTAAGCTTGGTTAAGTGTATTAGTAAATGTTCAAAAGGCTTACTATTAGGACAGGAGGTCAAAGACTAGAAATCAAAGACAATAAGAATATGTTACGCCGAAATAATTACCTACCCAATATAATATTCAATAAATTCATCAAAAATTAAAAGAAAACAAGAATACCACTGTTGTTCACATAGATACGATAAAATGCACTCGGCAACCACATGTACGTTTGTGCAGTAGACAAAGTCATACCTATTATGTGAGAGGTAATGATGCTATTTGACTCCCGAAACCTCAGTCGGTGGTCGGTCAGTGTTCAAACCCACGAACTAATTACTGGTTGGAAGTCAACTCCCTAAACCGATGTGAGCGATACCTACACAATGTTAACAATCACTGTGATACTACAAAAAACGTTCAAAATCTCTTCTTCCAAGAACGGAACTCCATGAACGTTGAGCGAGCGTCTCCATAAGGCTAAAATTAGATTGACTTTTGAAAACTTTTTTAGGCTAGAAGATTCTATCGTTCCAATTAAGCTAAATAATCTAATTTGCCTAATTCCTTCCAGTGATTGAGAGGTCAAATACATATTGGCCATATTAGTCAACTAGGATCAATCAGGCTGCCTGAACATAGAAGCAACTTAGGTAGATCAAGATTAATTACGCTTAATAAGATTAGGAATCTAGAGAAAAACTTTTCTGTAACTAAGCCTACACTTACACACTACCCCATGATAAGATGAAACAGAGTGACAGTCGTTGAAACTAACTTGAGTGAAGGGGGAGACTTGTGACTCAATCTTAGTTCATCGAATCAACACCAAGTACGCTGTAGGATAGTTCAGTGTCGCTTTTAGACAAATGGGAAATTTTGCTGCTTATATCACAAACAAGGTGAGAGAATTCGAAACTATACAAACCATGTCTCAAAATTGTGGAGTTGTCTTGGTATGACTATGTACAATAAATAAATACTGTATGATGCATCCAGTAAACAAACTATAGTCGAGTCCACTTGACCATATTATGATGAAGAATGAAAGATGGGATAACCAGTTTTTTTAGTGGTCTCTTGATTTTATGAAGTAAGAATTCAGATCAACAATACTAATGGTAATTTTCATCTTGTCTATAGTGTGTACTTGATTTTTTTGGAACACTGGATCCCGAGTAAAGACCATGCTACGCCTACCTTAATCTAAGCAACCGAAAGGGATAAATAAGCTGTTGCCCGCTTATTTCTCCTTGTAGCCAAGTGCATAAATCTCCACTGAGTATATGTGTTGCATTCGTTTGTGGAACTCATATGTGATGAATGTAGATAGGTAACTTTCAACCAGTGGATCACCGGTTCGAACTCCACTCCACCTTCCGAAATTCAGGCAGACAGCTGTCACACTATGTGTGTGCACAAACCTGTGCTTTGTTGTCTAGTTACACTTCTATTTCATCTATGGCATCGTGATGTTCGTTGTTACTGTTTTTCTGCATGTTTGAGTATAACTTACTCTCCTTTTTTCTGTTATATAGCTTTTATGTATGGGAATGTTTGAGTCGAACACTGATTCGTGTCGGTAGGCGTGTGGCTCGCATTACAGGTCGATTAGAATTGGCTAAAGAAAATGTGGAAGTAGAAAGACGTCGAGTAAGTTAGTCAATGTCTTGACTGTTTATTTATCTACTATTTAACTCGGTAATAATCATACTGACCAGAAAGTTTTATTCTGGATATTTACAACACTTTCTAAAGTGGTAACTTTCCTCTGAATACTATTCGATTTAAAATTTGGCTACAGTCGTGTAGAAAAAAGTTAACTTCTTGGTTAAGTTCTACATAGTTGTTCCTACGAACACATATTTTTCCCCCATTATATGCATGAGAAATGTGTCCCTTGTACAGAGAATCAACTCGTTATTATTATTAATAACAGTCCATTATTCCAAACAATATGTATGACAGTATGGAATTTTCAACAAATTCACTCTCGAAACAATACTTTCAGAAAAAATGCTTATTGCATCTGGATAATGTTAATAATAACAGTATTCAAGGCAATAATATAAAAATAGCCAGCTGATTCTAGATGACCATCGAGTCCATATTCAAGAACCAGCAGAAATGTAAGCGTAATTTTGTCGTCTTTGGTTTTTTTTTTAGACGGTACAAAAATCTACAACTCAAGCTAATTATCTGATGAATAGAAATATAATGTACTTTTTGCACCAAAAAATCCATTTCTAGATAACATATCATTTTTCCCCTGCTTTGTTATTGACTTAAAAAGTGGAGAGTTGAAAACAGTTTAAAAATGTGCAAGAGTACATGATACGTTCAAAGGAAATATTTGAACGATTAAAACAAATTGAAAGAAAAGGACTTAATGAAAAATGTTCGATGAATAAATTTGTCAGCCCCAATTTTCAAGCAAGTTGCCTATCTTGCTAGGAAGATCCTTTTCAAAAGTATACAATGAATGATTTACACACAATGAAGTTATTTAGTTTTAGTAATATTTCTAGCAAAATTACTGCTCATGATCATACCAATTACTGGAATTACTTGTCCATAGATTTACGGATAAGATTCACATCTACAATGTCTTCATTTTGTTAGTTTGTCATTATTTTTCTCCAGTACACCATGTTTCATGCTATTGACAGTTGTACTGAATAATCTACCGCTGTTGCACGTGTTTTCGATATGAGTTGTATGTAAATGGATTCAGTCAACAATATTTTTTTTCCATTTGTTCATCTTGAACATTGTCTTAATATTATGTTTCCTATTTCATACGTGTGCTGCTATCGATGAACGTATTTAACATTTGTATATATTCTTGTGTCACCCTGTGAGTTAATCGTCGATGTTCATTCACAGTCTGATTCTGAGTGATCTTGACGTTTGACCTACATAGGTAACTTGACAGTCGATAGAAGATAGTTTGTATATAACAGTGTTGTCTTCCAGTTTCTTTTTAATTGCATCTTTCAATTGGTTTAAATCATTTTTGATAAGGTTCATGACTTTAATTGCGGTTCAAATTCCTGTTGTACTACATGGACTCAGATGTACCTTTCTTGTATGCCAGTACTACAGTCTTTCTATATTCCTATTATTGTTACTTGGTGACGATTGAAGGTGAAATGAAAATTTGAACCGTGGCCGGATTCGAACCAGCAACCACTGGGTTACCGACCTGGGGCTCTACCAACTTAGCTACTAGGTGTGTGGTTTTGTTGAAAATCACAGTTGTATTTCCGTTATCTGCCTGAGCATTTACTACAGATCTATCTGCCTTTAGTTTTTTTTCAATGCTATCAACTCGAACCTTAGTGATATTAGGTTTGCCTTTTCTTTATTTCCTTTAGTGTTGTGGAACCCTTTGCTTGTATCAATGTTTGTTTCCTTATCAGACCTTTTTTGTCATAGACTGGTTACTTACACTTATGCCTGTTCGATGATAACACAAAGACATCTGGCATCCGCTGAGATTTTAGTTCCCCTTGCATTCAACTGAGACTGGGGTATGTGTGTTCGGTATTGAAAAGGTTCATCTCCACATTGGTCCTTTAAGAATGTGTAAGGCGAAGAGTGCTTACTTATTTTCCAAGTCGTTTTGATTGATACTAAGTTGGATTCAAGCTTAGTTGTCAAGCCGTGCACAAAGATATGAAACAATGGGAATTCTACTTACGACAAATGATCTTGCTTTTTGTTTGTCTATTCACTTCTAAACACTGGTATGTTTTACTCAAATGTGCTTTCTAGACTCTGTTGATGACAGATTTCCAAGTGCTTCATATGAGTTTATCTTTTACTTTTCCCGAAGGCCTTCAGTTTTCGATAATCTTGTAGTATTGCTAACTAATCACAAATCAACATTGGATTAAGAACTGCTGGGTAACAGTCCAAGTTTCCACACCTCATATCAGCACATCGAGTAGTAAGGCAATGAAATGGAGGATGAAGAAAGAGAAATCGGTCGAAAGAAGTAGAAAGTAGTAAAAGAGAAGGCGGAAGGAATGAGAAGATGATGAGATTGAATATAGTGATTAAGATGAGGATCATGTGTGTATACGTCTGCGCCAGTGACATCGGTTCTGAGCCATATCACCTAGATTGTCCAACCACTGGTTTCTCTTGTCCCATAGACCCCAACTGACTAATAATTTGTTTGTTTTCCTCCAGTGAAAATCTATATCGTTTCAACTACAGGTGGCACAGATGAGGATGTCAAGACCAGGATCGGAAAAGCAAGACAGACTTTCATTAGCCTGAAATCAGTGTGGAGATCTACTGCACTCAGCACTAAGAACAAGATCCGGATTTTCATCACCAATGTCAAGTCAGTGCTTCTGTATGGTTCAGAGACTTGGCGCGTCACAAAAAGCACTTCCAACAAACTAAAGACATTCATCAACAACTGCCGCCTACGCCCACTCCATATTGAGAATCAGATGGTCAGAAAGAATAAGCAACAAGGAACTTTGGGAAAGAACTAATTAAGAACCTATCACCCAACAAATATGCAGAAGAAAAAGGGGATTGATCGGATTGGGCATACACCGATAAGGCCGATTGGGGACATCACGCACCAGACTAGGGCAGGCCGTCGAGAGGAACCCAAAGGGGAAACGACGAGTTGGGCGTTTGAGCCGTGGGTGACATAGAGGAGATCGTGTGAGGAAGAAATGAGAGTTTGTGGACAGTCGTGGCGCCAGGTTTTGAAGACTGCAGAGAAGAGAGTGGAATGGAGGTGTGCTACTGAATCCCTATGTTCCACTAGGAATCCAAGGGAAAAATAATAATTGTTTATATTTGTCTGCTTGTAAGGTATAAGTATGGTTACAAAACAGAAAAGTGGAAAAACTGGCCTCAACTTTTTTCGATTAAAGTCTGATCACAAACTATAAATGTATGGGAATTTGTAGACTAGGTTGTTTTTTTTATTACACCGTCAGATTTTGTAGTCTGTTAACCTGAAAACGGTTCATGAAACATTTGCGAGTCGTCTTCAGTCGAGTATAGCTGTATTCGTTTACGAACCCCTGAGTAGGGGATTCCTAGTTGTTTTTTCAATTGCTTTTGTTTTCTTTTCTATTGATGTTTAAAGTTTAACTGAAATAAACTGAATAATAATATAGGAGTTTGGGGGTATCATACAATCACTTTTTCGCTTTCATGTAGGGATTCGTATAATTTCATGCATATTTCTCATTTGTTTGTTCTTAGGTGTATAAGATAAACATGTAATATAGCTGATTTGTTAATCTTTTCTAGTCCCCGTACTCTACTCCTGATCGAGATGAAGCTGATCAAGGGGAACATCCTGGCGGTTTTGTACGCAATGGAGGTGATGATAGTTCATTCTTTAAAAAACCAAAAGACTCCATTTCTGGAAGATTGAGAAGGAATGATAACCGAAAATTGATAGCAGGCTGTGAGTTGGTTTCCTCATCAGATGATGAAGCATATGGGGGAGGAAAAGATAATGCTGATGGTAGAGTAGCGCGGCTTGAAGAAGCTAGATGTGAAGCTGTTCGTAGTCAGTGCGCTGTCATTACACTACTGTTGCATCGTCATGCTAGACTAACAGCCGAACTTGCAGCTGAAATTTCAGGGTCTACTCTGGATCATTCATTAGCTTCAGAATCGTCATTCTTCTTACATGAAACAATTCAACCTACGAGTTTATCTGAACAAGCTTTACGAAACATTATGTTCTGGCTTAAAGGTCGTTTAGTACAGGTAGTGCTTGAGGTAAGTTCTTTTCTTTTAGTTTTTTTCTGTGTTTGTTTCTTGCACTTGCAAGTTTAATTATCTCTTATTGAGCTAAAATGGAAACAGAACTTCATTTTGCTAGTATGATACAAAAAATTAAAGGGCTTACTTCTAATCCGAAACTGGACTACCGATTGGAAGGTATGCCTGTGCTTATATAGAGGCAAATTTAAGATGTCTGTTATCTTCTGTGTACGATGGTTGATGGTTATAAGTAAGCCGATTGGCTTCAAAAGATGATTCCTGAAGTTTTAATCAGAAGTTTTGACCGCTAAGACCAAACAGGTCTGATATGAAGACAGATACTTCACGACAATATTGGATGGAGGTCGGGCTGTATGGTGAACGAACAGAGGTAGGATATATGAACCCATTGAATTTCGACCCGTCGGCTCAATGGTAACCTGCACTGGCCGCGGAACTTGGTGTTTCTAGCCTGGATGTCTGTTGAGGTCATAGGTGTCGACTGCTGAGAAATTTCCATACTAGAACAAAGCAGCTGCCCAGGTTTCCGATGGTTCTCCAACTGATGTCAGTCCATGATGAATACCAACCTGAAATCAATTGTTAAATCTCTGCAAACCTCCAAGTTGACTAATACATAAAGAGTAAATATCTCGTTTCATTCACAAAGATCTTCACTTCTAGTAAGTATCTTTCTTGAGCTGCCAAGTGTATAGCATTATAGCGATGATTGTTGATGATGATGATGTGTGTGTGTGTGTATGTACGTCGATTTCTAGTTTGATCTTGATAGCATGTAAATGGACATAGTCTGTCTATATGGTGATGAATTGCTTAAATTCATTCATAAAACTTATCTCCGTATTGTTTTCATTCCACAGCATTGTGATCAGTTAATACCTTACCTTGACAATTTGGATGAATTCATTTGTGGAGCTCATCCTGAAGTCCAAGATGTGTTCCAACAGTTACGCTCTCTCTACGCATAATAATAATAATAATACCACATTGGTAGTTTGTGTATTTTAAAGATGGTTAACCTGTTTATGTATTGTGTCATTTGAACTTCCCCACGATCTAAGAAATGTTGGATAATTTGTATTATATAGTCCTTATTCTTATCTGTCTACCATTCTGGAAATAAAAATTTAACGATGTCACCTTGATTCTCTTTTAACAAATTTTAAATCAACAGCATAAACTTATCAGTTGATATAACTTGACTATGCCTGTCTCATTTACATACCTTAATAACATCGTTTATATATATATATATATATATATATATATATATATATATATTTGTGGCCTTAAAATTGTTATATTATTTTTAGAACACAGACGTGATACAGCATGGGCACCAAAAAATGCGCCACACATAACAGCATTATGAAGACATAAAGCGAAGGAAAGTGGAGAAAGACAATGAAAAGAGCACGACTAGAAAGGCAGTCTGGCAAGATACATTCAAAACAAAACATTCATTACTTTTCAGTAGCAGAAGATAAGAGGGAGCTGCAGCATGACTGGTACTAGTTCTCTTTTTGAGTCGTGTCTGATAACGTCTCAAGTCACTGAGTTGCACGATCTCTCGAACCCCACCCAGGGGGTTGTGAGATGCACCAATACATGCTAACCTGATACAGCAATCCTTCATTCCACCTTGTCACGTCATATACTGACCGCTTCTTCCATCCAGTCTCAGGGTTAGCAAACAATGAACGGCGTGGAAGTCGTTGAGACGATATGCGTAACACATGTCAGAGCCACCGAAGCCGATGTTTTCAGATGACTTCACTTATTGAACAACGATATCTGTCATGCCCAAACGCATGGTGTTGTCACCGGATACGGAGACGACGGTGTTCAGACACACAGTGTTGTCACCTTGGAGAGTTTAGGTTTCACAGATGCAGAGCAGAACTGCTAGCACCGCAGCCTTGTAAATCCGACCTTTTGCGGTCAGACTAATGTCCCGATGGCATCAAAGGTGGTCCTAATTGATGTGTGCCACTTTGGCTTTCCATATGCGTTTGGAAATTTCACACCACCAGCACTCATCTAGATACACGAACTTTCCAACCGCTGACTACCGTGAGTGAGCGTGGGCTCCTACCAATCTTGCAAAATTACTTTGCACTTTATTGGTGCAAAGCACATACCATACTTGTGGTCTTAAAAAGTTTGAAAGAAATGGGCTGATCTTTGAAACAACCGAAGCCAACTGTTATCCACACAAGACTGTTGTGTAGCATGCGTAGATTATAGAATTGGACTGTGGAGTATATATTTCAGTGGGAGTTATCAACGATATGAGAAGCCCTTAGTCTAGCGCTTTCGTTGGCTTATACATTGAGAACAAATGTACATGGTGGCTTATGTAGAATGAATAAGCCTTTTTCCCGGTCGTTTAATTAGTAAAGTTGTGGACTGTGATGCACTGAAGGAGTTGCTCATTCATTTTGTTTTCATCCAAAACGGTAATGACAAACTAAGTATGAAAAGTCAGACGTAATACAACTCAACCGGGTGCTAAGCTATGAACCACATTGTATGTGGAAAGCATATCAGTGGTAATAATTTGAAAATAATTATGGTGTATTCACAAGAAAATACTTGAGCATAGACGTTCATTGAACGACACTAATCCATTCGGAGAGTTTGATCGGCAATAATAAATTAGGATTAAATTCATAAACAAAGTGGAGTGCATGTGTATAGCAAATAACTCTCTTTAAACGTCGCACACGACCAAAAGATCATGTACTGTCTCATCACCTCTGGCATCATAGATTCACATGAACACCATCAGAGTATCAGATATTCTAGGTACCCAGGTCAAGGTAATTAAGTCCCATCATATATAGATTATGTACAGTTTTTCGATAGCCCACACTGATTTCTCGACACATGAATTACTGGGTTAACGCTGCAGCCTGAATTCATCACTTCAAGGCCACCGTACATGCAGTCCAGCACGAAACCAGGTGCATGCTGGCAGCAAACGCGTGAATGGCGAACCAAACTGGATAGCTTAAACAGTGTAAATGAACTAAATTCCTTGAGATAAGGGAGCTGAATAAAAAAGTAGAAACGATATTCATTAAAAGACCAATCTAGTCACCATAAGAGAATGTTAAGAATTCTGATTTCGTGCTTACAAACAAATTGTTACCTTTGAGAGGTAGCAGTGATGGTAATAGAGAAAAATGTTCAGTTAAAAGAACACATCAGTTCTAAAAATAAGTGGTTCATGTATTTCTGGATAATTATTGATTAGATGGAAAGAGTAGTAGAATAACATCAGGGGGAGTTAAGCAACCTTAACCTATAATTTAAAGATAATCAACATTGATGCTGACCATCATAGGGTTGACGAACTCACTTAGCGGAGTGTACATTGTCAGGTGTTCAACACGTCATGCTGTTTTGCTCGTCCACGATACTCTAAACAGTTAGATCGTGTATCAGTTTTTTGGTCCAGTTAGACAAATATTCAACACACCACAATTAGTCGTTGAAACAACAGGAGCTTGAGATCTAGTCCAGTGTGCACATGTCGTTTTTACGCTGAATAATAGCCACATTTTCAGAATCAGTATTCTAGCCATATACAGGTGGTCTTTCAATCACTTCTAAATATCTGGAGGTGTTTATGCTATTGCTTCTCGGATAAAAAGTGGCCTAGTGAATAGCACTCTGGCGTCTGAAGAAGTCCGTAAGGGTTTTGAGTCTTAATAAGTATGACACCATTCACTCAGAACCAGGTACATCCAACACACCAGTTTAAAATACGACGAGGTCCGCTTCCTGCAATCACACTGCTAGCCACTTAATATAATTACTATCCAGTTTTATCCTTTATAATCAGTATGTACATGTAGGTAGGTTACTGATAAAGCTCCTTGAACTGTTCAGATTTCTGTGCGTACCTTTCAGTCCTTGTAATTTAACATAAGGATTCCCAGGCTCTACAGAAGGTTTTTTCCACGGTTTTATTCTCGTCCATCTACAAACTGTTGGTTGGTTCACCGCAATTCCCTGAGAAAGAAACTCCCCTTACATACTTGAACCTCGCATTGCACAGAAATCCCAAATAGGATTTGAATCGTCCGATTTCCCTGAACATCTGGTTAACAACAAGGGCATACGCCTATTGAAAAATAAACTGGTGCTTATTCCAGGGTATTTCATACAATTACTTCCTTTTACTTAAGCAAGGACGGAAGATTCTTCAGAATATGGTAATTTCATGTTTATTAGATGCTTTCTCTTCATCTACAAGAAGAATACAGCTTGTATAAAAACGAACGCAGTATTCGCTAGTCGAAACGCGCTCAGCAACCTTGGGCGAGTTCATGCAGTAGGCAAAGAGCCAAACCTATTGTGTAAGGGTTAGTGATAAAACGCGGTTGTCTAAGACTTGGTAGGTGGAGGGGCGTTCGAACCTATGGTCCACTAGTTGGAAGTCAACTGCCTAAACCAATAAGCCATGGCTCCGCTCCAAATACTCGGAAAGAAAAGTGTATATTGATGGGAAAAACAGTACAGATCAATGCAGTACAAATAAAATAACTAACTGACTGAGTTCGAAGTTTTCCAGTTTTCATGTGTTGTTATGATGCGTAGGGCTTTAAAAGACGTCAGCAGGGTGAGTGGTGTGCCTCTGTCCCAACTGATTAACACTATGGTTGACAGGAATTTAAATTCCAGCGAGCAAACAGCTACAGAAATTTTAGCTGACACTGAGCACCCACTTCATTCACAGCTCTCTTCAAGTATCTCCTCAGGGAGGACAAGAAGAAACTACGTAAGACTGTAAGCTCGTACAATCAAGTATAAGAGTTCGACTGTACCTTATCTAGCACGCATATTATGTTAGGAGAAAAATGTTAGAATAGAACTCATATATCAACTTGGTACCAGTTAACAATCTCATCTAAATGATTTAATTAACTGTGTAAAATGTCCTCGTTTTTAATATTCCCTACATTAATTAAATTGTTATGATGACACAATTCAAAATGTTGTAAGGGAGTATAAACATACATATAGTTTGTTGTTGTTGTTGTTGCAATGTATCATGCTGAGAATTCTGAATTGTAACACAAATTGCTTGGAAGATAATGAATCATTATTGTAAGTGGAAAATGGACTAGGAGAGATTGCGTGTCTGTAGTTGACTAATAATGTAAATAAGACAATGACACTTGAGGTGGCTGAAATTCCAATAGGTTTAGGCCAGGCACTCGAATTCTCGAGATAAGGAAGGAACCAATTGGAGATACTAAACAAATTGAAAGGGTCTATTTTTCCATAATGCAGACCAATGGCTACTACGAAGGTCAGCTGTTAACTTCCGCCTCTTTTAGAATACACAACTTCGTCTTATTACATTGATAGCAACTGCTTCTACGAATCAGTAAATTAGCATTGATTTGAGACCATCTTGCCTTAAGGTGGGTCTAAGAGCTATCACAGCAACAAGATAATCAAACCAGTTTTCCAATGGTCAGACGTCATAGGTATATACTATCTTCCGAGAAGCCAGCTTCATAATATTGAAAAGGGCATCGTACGATCGATCACCACAGCGGTCTACCACTCCAGTTCCCATAACCCTAGCAATAATCTGTCTGAGCAGAGTCGTTGCAATCATAAGTACTAGCGACCATTGACAGGTTTGCTGAACATTCAGATGTACCTCCAAATGATCACAGCGTACGTATGTATTAGGAAGGACCGAGTCATGGTTCGTCAGTGTGTGGTGAAGTGCTGTATGATCATGAGGACCTGTGGATACACTCAACAATTTTTGAGGCAAACTGCGTAGGTATTTGGGAGTCTGCTGCTTGCGAAGCTGGGTCTACTCAAGGTGTTGTAACAAAAGGGGTAATTTACTGCGTTAGGAATTCGGACACTACTCCTAGGTGCCTAATTGTATGGGATGCAAATGCACCCGATGTTGACTGGAAAGGACTGACCACAT